AGGACGGGAGAAGAGAAACGTAGACTTGAAGCAGGATGACTTTTCCACCCATGCCCCATGGTATCCTCTGCCCCGAGCTCCTCCCTCTGCCTGGATTCCCCTGTTCCATCAAGAGATCTGATTCCTGGCCGCGGGGACCCTGCCCTGGGTTCTCCTGTCAACACAGGGATCTCCTGTGCCCCCCGCGGCCGGTGGATCTCCTCCTGCAGGTGTTCTGCAACAGCCACCCCTTTGCTGCTTTCTAGCTCAACTTGAGGTCCTCCCCTTGAGGCAAAAGAGGGCACCATTATTATACTGCAGGAGGGGGGCGGTCCCCTTCAGTAGGAAAGTTGGGGTGCGCGGGAGGCCAGGTGAAAACCACACAGGGTCGGAGCGCTCTCCAGAATCTCTGAGCAGAACGTCTCTCAGGGCCACCGCGAAGGGAGAGGAGCCCAGGATGAATCACTTCTCCCTCCCATGCTGGCGCATCCCTGAGCAGCAGACCCAGCGCGTCGTGTGATGTACATACAGAGGCGTGTTTAGCGACACCAGAGTCACAGCCCGTGAGCGGGTGTGAGGCGGGTGCTGTGTGCGGATCCCAGACCCAACATCCTTTCTCAGGCTCCTCCTGGGTGAGGGCTGAGTGGGACGTTTGTGGTTGCAGTTCTGCAAACCCCGGGGGATACTACTGCCCCAGGAGAGAAGGGACACGTGGTGTGGGCAAGGAAGGGCTGCACATCCGTCCCAGTGTGGCCGACTCCGCGCCGTGGGGACATGAGGCCCCCCTCACCCCCCAGCAGGTCAGCAGGCCCCTCACCTGAGGTTGCCCTTGTTGGTGGCGTACTTGACGTGGTTGCAGATGTAGTTGAACATCCCGTGAGCCGTGGTGCAGTCGCGTGCATCGAACACCTGGGAGAGATGCTCAGTGGGACTGACGGCCGTCTCCCCCTTTCCCAGAGCCCACCCCCAGGGCCACCACTCTGGAGTAGCAGGCACGTCGTTCTGAGTCCCCGGCAACCTTTTATGTTTTCTTTCTTCTATGCTCAACCGGACTAGGAAAAGTCTCCAAAGTGCAAGCGAATGTGACGAAGGGGACAGTCAATACAGGGTGCGTTTTAATGAGATGGCCACGTTTTCTGTTAGGGACTAGGACTGAGGGATTAAAAAAATATATATAAACAAAAACCAAACTCCAAACCCCGACCTTGATAACGAAGCTACTGCCCATGAGCAGCTCTTCCCTAGAATCCAATCGGGTCAGCGAGACAGAAACGGACCCGTGAGGGGGGACGCGGAGAAGGTCAGTAAGGGAGGTGGGCGGGAGGCTGAAGGGAGCGGTGGGGTCTGGGGTCAGCCGGGGTGCCCAGGGGACATGGCTCCAGTCAGGATGCGGCCGTGACCTGGGAGTGTGGCCCCCTGACCACCAGGTGATAGGTGACTAGGGCCAACGGGGGCCTTTCCAAAGCCCCACCTGCCCTCTTTCTCTCGCCCCCTCCCCAGGGTGTCCCCAAGGGGTCTCCCACCTGCAGCTTGGACCACTGGATCCTGCCGACGCAGCGGGCGGCGTTGCGCCAGGCGTGCTTGGCCCCGTAGATGAGCTCCGTGTCCCTGAGCTGGTAGGTGCTGGTGCTGTCGATCTCCCGGTTCACCTCCTCCAGCCGGTCCATGTGGGCCTTGGAGCCAAACCTGAGTTGGGAGAAGAGGAGCGTGAAGCGCCCCCTAAGGTCTCCCACCAGCCCGGGCCTCTACTAGGAGGCAGGGGCACCTGTAGGAGGTGGGGCCTGGTGGGAGGGAGTGAGGTCATGGGGGGCGCCCTCCCTCCCCCCTCCCTTGTTTCCCAGGTGCCATGAGGTGAGGGGTCTCCTCCTCCTGCTCTCCATCCCGGATGAGCTGCCTGGCCACTGGCGCAACCAAACAGGGGCCGAGCGCCCGTGGACTCCAATGATCAGCACAAACAAACCTTTCCTTCCTTTTAAGTTGATTCTCTCAGGTGTTTTGTCACAGGGACGGAAAGCTAACCCATGTCATTACCCCCTCTTCTGAAGTAGAGGTGGGTGGGAGGGACGAGCTATGATAGGACACTGGGGGCCACAGGAAGTCCCCCGTCGACTGCCACGTGTGACAGTTAGAGCATAAAGCAGAGAGGGTACACTCAGGTGCCCACGAGGGCTCGGCGGGGGGTGTAGATGAAACCAGCTGGTGGGGACTGTGTTGAGCCTTGTCCTTGGGGACCAGCCGTGACTGTGCCCCAGCCAACTGCTCCCTGATAGGCATGGGGACCCAAGGCTGGAGGGTCTTGCTCAACACAAACTGGAAAGTCGTAGTCTTAGAGGGAGCTGTTCTAAGTTCCCACTGCTGGGAACGCCTTCAGTTTTAGACAGTTAAAAATCACTTTGGGAACTTTTAGGCTCCTAAGAAGGCAGCTCTACAGAACAGTGTAAGGAGCACCCAGGTCCCCCGCGGAAACCCGCGTCCGGCCCCGCTACACACGTGTTCTACCACCGAGGGACACCTTAGCCCCTGGGGTTCAGATTTTCAGGTGAGGGGTGTTCAGTTGGTAAAGTCGATGCAAATGATTCTAAGATCTGAAAAACTCTGAGACCCAAATGCGCCTGGCGCAGAACATTTCAGAGAAGGGATACGGAGCCTGGACTCCACGTCTGGACTGTGGAGGGAGCCAAGGCGAGTTCTGGAAGGCTCTTCAATGGTAATCTTTCCTACTGTCCGTGGTGTTTGTGAGCTTGCCCTTCTTTGCATGCTCACAACCACAGCTGGGAGTTTTCCTCCAGGTGTGCAATTGCACGAAATACTCCAGAGTCCAAGAAATCCTTTCCCAGGTCAAATAAGAGCCCATCTGGGGGCCAGGTTTGGCCCGAGGGCTAGCAGGTTTCCACCCCTGTGACGGGCGGGCTAAGGCCTCAAACTTGGGGTTTGCAAAGCTGCAGATGACATCGTGTCCCCAGCCCTCACCACTGAGCCACATCCCCTGGCCTTTTAACATTTCCTTTAGACACAGGGTCTCATCTCCCTGAGTTGCTGAGGGCCT